CAAGGCAGGGACTTAAAGCGGCTCAGCAGACCCTGCACCCCCCTTTCCCGGAGCCCCTGCCGGAGGGATGGAGGCTGCCTGCATTACAAAACCTCGGGAGCGGATCGTGGCCGGCTGTTTTTTGTGTTTGTGAAACTGGTTTATTCCCAGAACATCGGTCCGAGCTCTGATCTCATTTCCCGGGAGCTGGACAGCTGTCCAGCCCCGTTAATCTGGGGTAATGAATCCCAGACAGGTCCATCAGATTTGCCGGGCGGGGAGGATGACGTCCAGTCCTGCACACATTCTCTCATTTATCTGTATAATTCATGGGGTGTGGGGTGGCGGGGGGAGCAGGCTGATTTTTGCCAGTGCGGGCTTAATAACGCGGAGCCGTGTCCCTCAACCTGTGTGTCTCCATCGTTTCATGGGCGACGTCCGGCGCGGTGGGACGGATGTGCTTGTGCGCGTGTCGGTTGGGCGCCCGTGCATCCATTCATTTGAGCCCAGGAAAGAAAGATGCTTCTCTTCTCTCTCCCAGGACGCTCATGGGACCGTACGGGATGGATCGAACCGTGCATTGCTTCGATTTCTACGACTGTGCAAACGGGCTGGGTGAGTACCGAACCTCTGCAAGGGACACCGGGGTGGGCTGGGGCAGCCCAAACACCCGCCCCGGTCCCCAGCGCCCGTGTCGTGACGTGCCTCCCGACGTGAAGTCTGATACCTCACAGAAGTCCTGGTCCTTGTGCCTGCCTGTGTCGAGCATCTGATAGCACCTTTTGCAGCTGGAAGGTTAAAATAAGGTCAAAACCCTGACTAATTCCCTGCTGATGGGGAGCAGCCGCAGTGCTGAGAGCTGTGCCGGAGCCCAGGGCCAGAGCCCTGAGCGGGACAGGGTGGAGAAAGGGCTTTTCATGAGTTTCTGTATTAATTTTTTTTTTTTAAATTAAAAAAACCCACAATAATAACAAATAAATAAAATCCCAAGCACTTCCCAGCTCCCTGCCCCACCGCAGGCAGGGATCCCCGGGAAGCCACCCCGACGGGTGATGCAGGGCGTTGCAGCTCTCCTGGGGACCGGGCTGTGTGAGCTGTTTTTGGAAAATTTGGCCCAAGGGTAAAGGTGTGAGCAGCAAGCGAGTCAGATGTCCTTCCACGGTGCTCTGAACATCAAAGCAGAGAAGAGAAGGGAAAAGAGAGGGTCATATCCATCAAGAACGTGAGAAATAGCTGCAGGTTCACGAAGCTCAGCCCAAAAGGATCCAGTATAGCATCTCAGCTGACCTCTGTGTATCCAGCAGCAAAAATACTGGTGCTCTGTCATGGACTTTGTAAAAAATCGCAGTCTTGAGTCAGGATTTCTCGGGGTCCACCATGCAGTCTCCTCCATAATTTTTAATAGTGAGCGTAGCCCATCCTTCCATAGAGCAGCTCTGGGCCCCGTGGTGAGGTCCCTGGGCGACCGCTTGGAGACCCCTCCTGAGAAGCCAAACTCACCAGAGAAACAAGGTCAGGTTTCCTGAGACCTGAGATTAATTATAGAGTAATTATTGGCTGTTTCCAGCTCTTGGGTAACAGGGCTTTCTGCTGTGGAGGAACGGCTTGGCTGACTCTTCCCCCGGTCGTTTGCTCGTGAAGTTCATGGGAGCTCAGAGAGATGTCTTTGCTCAGTGAATACAATATTTTAATCTCCAGAGGTGGATTTGGTTGAGTTGATGGGATTTTAGCTGTTGGGTTAGATTAGCTCGTTAAGGAGGAGACCCAGAAAAGCCTGACGGGGCTGTGGCTGACCTCGGGAGGGAGTGCATGGATGTTGCAGCCTGCTGCAAGCCACTTTGCTGGCTCCCAGTAACCCTCCTTTCCCCCAGGCTGTGGCCAGAGGGTCTTTTCAGGGTCTTGCGGACCCTCTACAGGGTCTTGTGATGTGTTGCAGGAAGGTACAACGTGGATTTGCTAATGCCATCATCAGCTTTCTTCACCCCTCTTGCGAGGCTTGAAATGCCCAAGGCAAGCGATCGTCCTCCAGAACATCACCCCTCTCTGCTGAGGGACCAAGTGGTGCTTGCAGGAGCCCCGTGTCTGCCATGGGTGTAGCTGCTCAGAATATGGGATTTTTTTGGGGGGGGAAAAAGGTGCCTCCATCAGTTTCTTGTGTTCGGCTGTGGGTGTTATTCCAGCAGCGTTTCTTTAGAGCAGCACCAGCCCGCTCGGTGCCGGCGTGGCAGGTCAGCGTTTGGCCCCGGGTCTGTTGCTCCGTGGCTTTAGGTGGAAACCCACATGTGAACCTCAGCAGAAGTTCAAAGGGGTTACCTGGCGGCTCCTAAAACCTGAGCTTTGAATTAAAGAATAGCCATCAAAGGGAAGTGCTGATTAAGAAGCATTTCTCAGAAACAGCGAGATCCCATTATTTTGACCTTCATCTTCTTAGGACGGAGCAGCGAGTGATTCACCTCCAATCTGTCCCTTCCTCCAGACAGAAAAAGCTGGCCGGGGCTGCAAGATCAACAGAGGGGGATTAAGGGAAATGTAATTGAACATTGCTAGCTTAGGCGCAAAGCGGGCAGCCGCTCCCCGTGCGGACCGCCGGCAGCGCGGCACAGCGGCCGGTGGGGTCACGATGCGCCGGAGATGATTACAGTTGGGCCAAACAACCAGATTAGCCTGGACACCCCTTGACCCATGGTATAGGGAGCCCGGAGCAGGTGAGATTATAGCCTGAGAAGTTGAGAACTGTGACACTGGCATTAGTGGGAGCGAGATTAGATGCACCAGGGAACCTCAAGGGTCTTGAAGAAGTTTATGGGATCGCTAGGAACCTAAAGAAAACGCCGTCTTGGCCAGTCTAACCTGTATGCCCACCTGGAGTTTCCCCATAAACATTTACTCTGCAGAGGAGAAAATACTGGGGACATGGGCATCAGCTCCAGGACCTTTGCCAGAAAGGAAAGATTAGATAGAGTGATCCAAAATAGGCTAGATTATCTGGCCCTAAGTATGACTTAATAAGCATTATACTGGGACTTTGATGCTGAGATAATTAAAGAGCCATTATTTACCCACATTGGGTCCCAAATATAAATTTGATTGAAATCGGCGTTTATAAAATAGGCGGACTCCCAGGAAGGCCACCTCCGCAATCTTTGGCGGTTTGCGTTTGTCACCATCAGTCCCGGGCTGTCCCACAGCTCGGTCCGAGCCCTGGCAGGGGCGAGCTCTTCCTCTGCCTCCTCTTCCTCCTCCTCCTCCCCGCCCTGGCGGGGACTCCCCGGTGCATCTCTCGGGGGGCAGGACTGGCGTCCGCAGTGCCCCCGCGGCGAGGTGGTGGGTGGGCGGGCAGGGTGGGCAGAGCCTGGCAGCACCCGGCTGGTTTGCCAGCACGGGAGTTAAAAGTCAGGGTGTGGTTTTTTTGGAGTTTTGTGTTTTTGTGGTTTTTTTTTTCCCTCCCCCCTGTCAAAGTTTGAGTGTGTCTGGGAGCAATACTGTGAGTAATCACCGATTTTAATAACAAGATCGGATTTTCTCCTGACATCACTGGGGATGAAGGAGGATTTGTAGATACTTCAGCTATATTAAGCCATTATTACAATTGATTTGCAGACACAAAAGGCAAATGAGTCATTATTGCCTTGATACCTCAGCAGAGGAGCCTGTCCCCAGCAGGTCCCGCTGGACGCTACTGGACGCCTCTTCTGAGACGCAGATTTTTACGCCATTTGTCTAATGTGTTTTATCGTTCCTAATTACTTCATGTACTGGTGTGAAGAAAGACATAGGACGACTCCTTCAGTCACCACATTGGCTTAAGCCGGACTTCCAAGTGTCCTCCCTGCCCGGGGGAACCAAGGGGGGCTTTGCCTCTGCAGGACCCCCCCGGGCCAGAGGTTTCCCAAACCCATGCCGAGCGCGAAGCCCGCCGGCAGCCGCCCCAGCCCGGGTGGGAGCCGAGAAGCTTTCCAGCCGAGCATCCTCGGGGACGAGCACCTTTTAATTTCTGTCAGCAGAAATTTGGGGCTGCGGCATCTCTTCCCCGTTTCGGTCCGCGGGCGCCTGACCTGCCCCCACGCCTTGGTGAGGCTCGCGCCACGCGGCGGTGCCTCTTTCGGGCGGTATTTCAAATTTCAGTGAACTTCTTTACAAAAATGCCACGGAGAACAACATTGGTGCCTTCTCCTGAGGTGTCTTGCCATGAGTTCCCAGTGCCACCAGTAAAACAGCTCCTCCCGCCTGGGAGGTTGTAGGGTTTAATGCATCAAGTCCAGGGAATAAAGTCCAGCGCTCGGACGGGGCTGGGGTCTCGTGCTTGGGAGAAGCAGCAATTGGTGTATACAGGGACGAAATGAAAAACTGGGGTAATCTGGTTTTAATCACAATTTTGCTGTAAAGGTGACTTGAGAGACAAGGTCTTCAGCCAAAAACTGCGCGGGGCCTTAGAGCAGAGCCCGGGTTATGGAAACAGCGCGTCGTACCGAGTCACCCCGATCCAGGGATCCACCCCTCGTCCCTCCTGCTCGTTTCAGAGTGGGGTCTTGTGTTTTGGGGAAGGCGCTCCTCCCCGGCGGCAGGCGTTTCTCGCACGGGGTCACTTCGTGCATCCCCGGACCCCAGCGAGGCTCAGAGGGGCTCCTCAGCCCGGGGATGAAGCTGGCCCCGTGCTGGCTGTGCCCCCCTCTGCGGTGCCACCCCCTTTGGTGCGTCCCCCCCTCCATCCAGAGCCACAAAACGCCTGACCAGCGGCTCTCAGGGGTGATTTGTTAATTAAAGCTGGGCTTTTTAATCCTTCTGCCCGCAGCCTGAGTCTTCAAAGCAGGACTTAAGGAGCCCGGGACAAATAGGTCTCTTGGGTCTCTTTCTGCCGGCCGGCTTAGGCACCAAAGGCCATGTCTGCACCCTCTGGGCTGGGCTTGAGCCCCCCCCGGGTTCAAACGCTGATAAAAAGGGGCTGCTGCCGCCGTGCAGCTCTTCAACGGCTGCGGGTGGGGGTCTTCTCCCCGCTGCGTTGAACCTGGGGCTTGCCCGGGGGTCGCACCTGGGAAGGGGGTCTCCTGGGGGAGACGCTCGTCCCCAGTAATGCTTCCTACGACAAGTCTTAGCAGAGGCGTGAGCGCAGGCTGAGGCACCCGCCGCAGAGCCGGACCCTTCCCCATCAGCGACGACGGCGGGGCCGGGGAAGGTGGTCGCTCCGTGGTTTGCGCCTTTCTCGGAAGCTTCGTCTCCGGAGCCGTCGCGCCGAGCTGGTGCTACCGGATGCCTTTGGCCTTTGTGTTGTGCCCGCGGCCGCCTGCGGCGG